CTGTCCCTGATAGCATATAAGTTGTTCTCTCATTACACAAAAGTGTTTACTACATCAATGAATGACTCTTCATCAAAAACAGTAACCAAAACTGTCTATGCCTATAAGTTCAAAACATCCTTCCAAAGTCTCTCAGTTCTTCTCTGGACAATCCTAAACAAAAAGCTCTCACTTTGTTAGAGAAATGGCTGTAAATGATTTCTACAAATTTTCAATTACACTTCACTACCAACACTTGGGAGGAAAAACTTTCACGTTAAAAAAAAAAAAAAAGCAACACTGCAATTCTACCACTGATGGATTAGCTTTGTACCAAAACAATATAAAATTATTTCATTTTTTTACTGTGAAGAGTCCTTTGGAAGTGACGTGTTTCCATCTTTTTTTAAAATCCAACAACAACAACAAATCTAGTCATAAACCTGACAAGTCAAAACAATAACCAGAAAAGCCTAACATTTCTTACCTGATACAGGTAAGCACCAGCTCCCAAATGCCACCTTGGGATAGTTCAGACTAGTAAGCAGACTCATGTTTTATGATACTGGAATGAACAGGAATAAATCTCTGTTGTTCTTTCTTTAGGAAAATCTATAACAGCAGCTACACCACAATGTGAGAGGACCCCACAGACCTAACAAATTCAAGGCTGTTGCTAGAGAAATAGGGGGAAAAACATAAAAAGAAGACTTACTGCTTGTCATGTGACTTGGTGAGGCATGCTGTCCATTGGGTGTGCTTGAGGTGAGGTCAATTGCCATATCGGAGTGCTCCCTTTCAGGTGAAAGCTCATTGTCACCTGCTTTCACAAAATAAAATCTTTTGGTCTCTGCTCATTGTCACATAAAATCTAATTACCAACTTTGTCTCATGCAGTGGCACGAATAGCCTTGAAATTGTAATGTAATATGTTTTTCCTTAAAAGAAACTGTAAGGCAATATAATTTAGAAATATATAGTAAATGAATGAAATGACAAAAAGCAACAACCAGCCCACACACACAAAAAAAAAGACAAAATTTCACTATCACAATAATTGTAACTGTAACGTAAGAGGAATTGGGAGGAGTTGATTTCTAAAGTATACTTTAGTTTAAAAAACTAAATTTCTTTTAAAACCTAATTTAATCATTGAACATACATTATTTATAATGAGCATTTTCTAAAATGCTGGCTATCAGAAAGTTGGATGTTTGAAAGGAGAGTTGGCTAAAAACATGTCAACTTGTTCGTTTTTAACCAAACAAGTTGAGAATTTAGAAGCTAATTCTCTTTCAGAATATGAGTCCGATAACGTAGGCTATACAATGCAATAAATATTTAGTACACGCCATATTAGTAGACATGTATGTAACCTGACCAATTGTAAACTTAGGTAATCAACCAGGAAAGTGTGGATCTGCTAAGCTCTACTGATTTCCATGTTATCTTTAATATAGTAAAGTATATTTCTATTTCACTGTATGTTGCTATTTTACCAAACTCACTTTAAGGGTGAAGTTGTGAACAGATAGAAAATGAGAGCATAGAATCTGTGATAAAGACTTACAATTGAGGAGTTCAAGTACAGGTAACACAGAAGCATAACTTTATTAGCAATAAAGAAAATTAATGGGAATGAATACTTACACGTTATATAGCCATCGATAGCCTCTGTTTCCATAGTCAAAGTGCAGTGCTGCAATACAAAAGATTAGACCCTTAACACAATGATTCCTTTCAGTTCTGCGCTGAAATGCTTAACTTATTTGAAGCTTCAAGCAGTTAGCCCATGTTGCTGCTGCTGCAACCTGTGCCCAGGAAACATACTACAGTGTACTGTATGTGCTCATTTGCAAGTCACTGAACTCTTTCTGCAAATGATCTGATTCCTGCTGGAGATAGGATAGGAAAGATAAGTGTGCTGTGAGATGGGCTGTAGCACGAAAGGAATGACTCTCTTAATCAGAATTTACTTGGTTCAAAGAAGAAGAAAAAAAAAACAAAACAAAAAACTAGGGGGCCACATCTCCAACATGCCAGCTTCACCCCTCACTACTCCCCACAATCGCACTGCAGTTTGAGGACTCCCCTAGTATACAGATAGCTCTATTCACAATTGTTGCAAGTTGGTTCATCATGTTCTGGGGGGGGGTTGGGGGGGGGGGGTGGAGGACAAACAAACATAAGAAAACAAAACAAAAACTTCGTGCCCAAGTGTGTCTCTAAGATTTCTGCAGCCGTTACCCAACTCCTGAACTTGTATTGGCGTTTTAGCCTAACCCCAAGTTCTGGGTGAGCACCTGTTCGATGGAACCTTACTTTCCTGCCAGACCAGGGTTGGATACAAATGCCAAGCTTACTTAATACAGTCCGATTTTGAAAATTTCATAAACTTTTCGCTGTTGGGAAGGGAATCGCTTTTTTAAAGTTTGGGGAATTATTCTCATGCACCCATGACGCAAAACAAGAACTTAATTCTCAGAAACAAAAGTTGTATGAGATGACACCCCCTAGCTTTGATTCCACATAATGAAAGGATCGATAAGCTGACTGTATTCTTTGAAAGACAAAGTTTAAAGAATTGACATGTCCTGAGGAGATTTTTTTACTTATTTTCCCCCCCTTTGGCCCTGGTCCTTTTTGCCTTTAGTTTCAAAACTCTCACTGCACCAGCAGCTAAATTATTCACAATGAGCCATTTCTGTATTGATCGCCAAGTATATTTAGCCCTGGCTCCTGGAATTCCTCCATTACTTACTGGAAAACAGGCAGCTTCACTTGTCTCCAAAACCACTTCCCTTCTCCCTCCCCTCCCCTTCTTCACCACCACCCTCCCTACCCGCCCCCCCCCCAAAAAAAAAAACACACACAAAACTTTTCTTTCTTTATGGAATAATCAGATCAAATTCCCAGCTCAGCCACTACATAGCACTTAAATTTCAACCTGCTGTACTGTTATCAAATTCTTTCAAATTATGATTACATAAGACGTTAAAGAAAGGCATCCACAAAGTTTAAAAGGGGCGCAGTTTCTTCAGCTATTTTACAAATGAGTTTATCTCTTTAAAAATGTGCACATTTAAACACACACACACACATATTAAAAAAGAAAGAAACGTCAGGGAGAAGCGAAAGAAGTCTGCCCCATCAATGAAATGGTTATTAACCCTCAGAGAAGGAAAGCCAGAGAAAGAAAAGGAGAAAGAGAAACGAAATGTACATACAAAAGGAACTGTCCCTTGATTAAAAAAGATTCATCACCATTTCCAGCTCTGTCGGGAGGTCTCAGCTTCTTCTAACCCCTCCAAGAGGAGGTGACAATGTCGGGCTGAAGATACACGGAGAGGGAGAGAAAGAAGTTTTCTGTGTTCCCCCTCCTTCTCTCTTCCCCTCCCTGGCCCCCTCCAAGCCAAGCCCCCTGCAGAGTTCAAGGCGAGGAGGAAGGAAAAGCACTTTACAGGTGGGTCATTCCGAGCCCAAATCCAGCAAACAGATCGGCTGATAAACAAAACCAAGAAATGAGAGAGAAGGAACACCCCCCTTCTCCTCCTCCTCCTCCTCCACCTCCTCCTCCTCCTCCTCCCTCCCTCCCCTCCCCCTCGTCCCTTTGGGATGGTCTAGTAGGAAAAGTCACTCAGGAATGGCACCACGTACTTTCAGGAAAGAGGAAAAAAAAGAGAGAGAGAGAGAAAGAGAGAGAGAGAGAGAGGTCAGTCAGTGCCACAGCAATGCGATTAACAAGAAGAGAAAAAACTTGATCCACCGGTTCTTTAAGAATCGACCAAAAGCTAAGACAAGAAAACTGAAAGAAAAGGTGGGGGGGTTAGAGGGGAGGGACAGTCAGGCAGAACCCAGCAAGGAACCTAGGTCCTAGGCCAACTTCCCAAGACTGTGTTTTTGGCAAACAGAGAAAGAAAGAAATCTTAATTCCATCTCTTTCGCCCATCCTAGATGGAACCTGTCAAAGTGACTTAGCTGCTGCCTTTTTGCATGTGTCATACCTGTTTTGTTTTGTTTGTTTGCTTGTTTGTTTTTATTAAATTCCAACAGGATCTGGCTATTACCTTCTCTCTGGACAGCTGCAATCTATGCCAAGCTACCCGATCTTTCTTGGAATTCAAGTTAAAACAAAGCCAAACAAGTCCGAATCCATGACAGCTAGAGAGGCGAGAACTGATTAATCGATTAACATCCCAGAAACAGATCTCAAGGAGGGGACGACACGTGAAGGCAGAGGACACCGTCGCCAGCCCGGCTCCCTGGGCGCCCTTTACAGACATTAGGACCCTACTCATCCCCACCAGCCATCGCTCCCGGAGAAAAACACCCACATTATCATCCTCCTCCTCCTCCCTGCTTAACAGCAACAAGTCATTTGATCACATTACCGTGCAAAACGAGGTGCCAGATAATTACACTTAACTTTGAAAACGCTCCCCGCCCCCCCGACCTTTGCAAATCAAGACACACACACATTTATCTCGACAACCTCGGAACCAGAAGACAAATAAAACAAGAGCTGCTCTTCCCCACGCCAAAGCCAAACGGAGATTTACCTCAGCAGCGCATGCAGTACCACACTCCCATCACCCTTTTGTGTGTGTTTACTGTTAGTGTGTCCTCTCTCGGGCTGTCTGTCCTGTGCCTAACGTGTGTTTGTGCACTGCGGCGGGTGGTGGGAACTAAGGCGGTGGAGCCGTAGCTAAGGGTAATCCTGTTTTTACTTCCTCCATCTTCAGCGAGGAGCAGGGTTAGCCCGGGACAGCTGGTCAAACCCCGAGAAACCGATCCGCCGCCGCCGGAGCACATCTCCCCCGCCGGCCGGCCGGGCTCGCGCAGACGCCCGCGGGCGGAGGGCGGGCTGGCGGCGGCGGCGGCGGCGGCGGCGGGCAGGGGGCGCGGGCCGGCGGGCGGCCGTGCGTGCGCGCGCGCGTGCGTGCGTGTGTGCGGGCCGGCGGGGGCGCGCGCGCGCGTGGGGGAGGGTGGGAGTGAGCGCGCGCGCGCGCGCGCGGGGGCCGGGGAGGGCGCGAGGGCGCGGGTCTGCGCGCCGGGCCGCTCGGCGCGCTCGGCAATCGATTACAGGACAAGTGCGGCCCCGGCGGCGCGGCGGCGCGCGCCTGGCCTCGCGCGTCCCCCCCACCCCAACCCCCGCGCGCGCCCGGGCTCGTCGCTCCCCGCACCCCCGCACTCCCGCCCCCGGCGGACCCCGCCCCCCCCAGGGGCCACCAGGTAACCAGCGTTCCTAGAGTCCCACCGCGACCCCGAGCCACTCATTCTACCCGTCCCCCGCCCCCCGCTCATCATAAATCTCACGTTTTCTGCCGGCCGGGAAGGAAGGATCGCCGGGGAGAGGGGAGGCTCATTTCGGCCGCGTGAAGTTTTCTTTCCAAATGGGAGCCGTGGCGAGGCCGGGCCACGGGAGCGGCGGCGATCCCGGCGCCCGGCGCGGAGCTCGGGGCTGGCCGTCCTGGCCCGAGTCGGGCGGTGCGCGTGGACCCACCCACTTGGGCTTCGCAATAAACTCCGCGGCGCGATCCCGGTGAACGGCACCGACGGACCGGGGCGCGGACCGGGATGCGGGGGTCCTCGGGAGTGGATGGGAAGGGCAAGTCGGGTCTGAGATGCAGCTCAGCGCGTACTATTTTGGAAGTGCTTCCCGGGGCAAGTTTTAAAATTAGAGCGTGTGCTGGCGTCTTCGTCCCCGGGCGGCTGCCACATCCACCCCAGTCCCAGGGACGCGTGAGGGTCCAGAAAGTTGTTAGAGCCCAGTGCTGCCCATCAGTAGCCACCATTCGTTATCGCACAGCTTTTTAAAATTGATTTGGGAACAACTGAAATAGATCAAGTTAAATGTGTGCTCTTGCTACACATAGTAGCATTTGGCTTTTTTTTTTTTTTTTTTTTTCTTGGCCACATTTGCAAAAAGAGGGAATAGAGACTTCTGTAATGAAAGGGAAAAGGAAAATGAAAGGATCTGAAAATACTGAACTGTGGAGTCTGGGTGGCTTAAGTTTGAAAAAACACACGAAATTAGTAGGACTACCCTACAGCGTTTCTGAGAAACCGTATCACAGGTTGTGAGGAAAATCAATGCTGAAAGAGGAGGCGCGGGCACCGAGCTCCTCCTTCCAAGAATCCCAGAAATAGTTGCTGAGTTGCTTTTTATTTTTTTTTTTCCTGCTGAGGATAGAAAATGACACATTGAAAATAAAATCATTAACTATTAACTATATCTTAAGCACTACTCTGTATGTCTGGGAAATTTTGGATAATGTCTTTTCCTTTAGATTTTGTGTTGGAGGAATTCATTCACGTTGATGCACACTATGTAATGGATACCGTATATAACTTGTCTATACTAAATTTACATTTTATAATGAATTACTTTTTAAAGGTTTATTAGACAAGTGAAACCAGTAGGCTGGTTACTGAATTAGGAAAAATTATAGTTGGTGCCATACTGAAAACAAGATGAACCAATATTTATTGGAGAGCAAATTATTTGGGCTCAGGCTACCAATGACTTTAGTAGGACAATTTTAAGAGAAATTGCAGTTCTGATGAGTTATATGTTGTTGTTGTTTTAACCTGTCAATTAGGTAAATACAAGTAATTTTCTTGATGACATATTTTAGGAAAGACAACAGAATTCCACAAATCATTTTAATCATCCCAATAGATAGCAAATATTTTAACCTTAAATTATCTTAGAAAAGTGGAATTTGATTCCCAGTATATAAATGGTAACATAACTTCTCTAAATTGCCATAAATCCCTCCTAAAAACTCAGCCTGACTGTTTAAGTATCTACAAAGTTATGGAGGTCCTTAGGAAAGATGACTTAAAACTGAAAATGAAATGTCTGGCTAGTTTATGCATTTTAATTCTTTAATAGAAGAGGAACCAATATGAAGTTTTAAGGAATTATCCTAAAGTTACCCAGCGTTACCACAGTTGATAAAGTCCTTGCCCCCTGGCTGATTAGAGCTTAATTTAGCTCCCTTGAAAGACTATCCTTTTCAGGAGTTGCTTTCTTTGACTTCCTAATCACCAGAGGCACACTCTCTCCCTCTAGTGGCTAAGCATTCAGACACTTTACATTTGGTGACTCTGTCTCCCCAGGAATTGGGGGTGGGGTTTGGGGGGAGGGTGTATTAGCTCCCAGAATTTAGGATAGTAAATGATCACTTGTGAGAATTAGACCATTAGTGGAAACTTGCTCCTCTTTTTAACATCCTATGTTCCTTTCTAATTTGCAGATCCTGGCATATCCAATGTATCCCAAAGAAGTCAAGATTATGTTTACATACTACAGCTAAGGGTTCTGTTTCATCCTCTGCAGTTGAATAGTCCTGGCTCTGAGACTCAGGGTTCCACTTGCGGGAAGTAACCTTTTATGAACTGCAGTAATTCACTTTGTTCAGAGCTTTTCTCAACAGTATTTTTATGCTGGTTAGAAAGCATATTTTCACTTTTTACCCTAACTACACTGCACACATTTTTAAAGTACACGTATAGTTAGCCTGTGCATAAAAATGCACTACCAGGGAAGTACAGTACCCTCCTATTCGCCCATTGTATCCAGTTGGATAGTTCAATTTTCACTTTGGGGATGGGGGTGAGGAGGTGGGGAGAAAACATACCTGACCCCCACCTCACTTCACACAGTGGGTTCTTCCTGATCCTGTCAGCCCCATTCCGCTGAAACCATGCCTTCCCAGCTCCAACTCATATAGTAGTGCCTTGCACATCTCCTTCACTATACAATTTGTAAATATTTTAGTCACTATAATGTCATCTTTTTAAGGGCAGGGATGATGTATATCCTGCTAGCAACTGTTTTCTTAGAACTAGCAAAATGTTTGGCCTGAGTTGTTACTCAAAAAACATTTGCTGAATGGATGAATATAGAGCTAATCACATACCTAGTTCCCATGTGTTAAACTGTTTTCAAGGGACAAAATGCATAGATATCAAAGATACATTCTTATCCCATCAATAATGTGGTCACTGGACAATGTGGCTCAGTTGGTGATTGTCCAGTACATCAAAAGTTTGCTGGTTCAATTCCTGGTCAGGGTACATACCTGGGTTGCAGCTCAATCCCTGTAGGGGGCATGCAGGAGGTAGTTTCGCTCTCATATCGATGTTTCTCCCTCTCCCTTCCTCTCGTCCTCTAAAAATCAATAAAAAATATTTTAAAAAAGGAACTTGTTCAAATCTTAGATCCTAAATCACGTTATAAATACAATATACTTAGCTCTGGCTTATGGTTCATGTGAAGAGTGTGATATAAATTGGTAGATATACAACTTACAAGTATAAATAGTAAAAGTGATTAAAACTGTATATCAAATGTAATTTGGTTAAGTACATATGTGTCCCCTCTGTTTCATAAATAAATTATTTCATGTTAATACCTGATTACTCATGAACGAGATTGACCATCAAGAAATGCGACAGATGTAATTCTATAACCACTAGGTGCAATTAGCAAAACAAAAATTTTTAAAGGTAGTGTAGCTAAAAGGGACATTATGGAGTATTACTTTTGTTTTCTTTGGATGGTTTATTTTATCTGTTTTGTATTTAAAAGCCCTAGTACCCTTTAAAGGAATTTGGATAAAAGTGCATTTTTGTTTGTTCAAGGAATTAACTCTGTTTTTTAAGTTTGGGTTTTGTTTTTAGCAGAGGGTAGGAAGGTGCAATTCAAAACATTACAGTACTTTGCTAATATTAAGGGGGGAAATTTGGAAATTGATTATATATTGAAGTTTTCTTTAGATGGTTCTATTGTTCTAGCTGTAGGAACATAGTCATTCAGAGTAGGTGCCCTAAAATAACTTGAATCCCTGGAAAAGTTGAGATCAACACAGGCACAATGCTTTAAAACTGATAACGTGTTTGATTTTTGTCAGGCGGTGGTGATCTTCGCTTTGAAGTGGTGTTCTCTTAAGTGAGATGTGGAACAATGGGCTCACTTTCTCCTGTCGACCTAGATCGGCACTGTGAAGAAGCAAGGAAGCCCGAATGGGAAACATAGTTTCAAAGAAAACATTCTAAGATACCACATCCAGGTCATAAATAAAGCATATTAATACCTCACAACTTTGCCTTCCTGGTCCATTTTACCGTCTGGGGTCCGTCTGGGGTCCGTCTGGGGGGTAAGGGTCTTCTCTTTCTCTCCATCCTGAACAACAGTTTCTTTTAGCAACCCTGAGGAGTGTCACTTTGCAATTCGAGATAAGGCTCTTGTACCTAGAAAAGGTAACATTATGACTTAAATTCACGCTTTGATAGGATAATATCAGATTTCTTCTGGAGAACACGTTTTGGTATTGATGTAGAACAGATGATAGGCTATCTCTATCACAAATGAGAATTATAAGTTGTGCGAGTTAGACCAAGGGGGTGAAGACTAGAGAGGTTTCTGAATAAAAAGGAAAGCGCACATTTTTAAAGATGTCACTAAAAGCTGCCATAGTTGCTTTAAAATGTGGATGTAAAAAAAAATTAAAAAAATAAAATAAAATGTAGATGTAGTTCAGCATTTGAGGAAATGAGTTCCATTAATTGCAGAAATGAAAGAACTTTGAGCTGGGTCAAGTGCAGACAGTTGATGCTCACAAAACAACTCTAAAAGGCATTGGGAAGAACGTTCTTAGAAGCCCTAAAATCATTAAATGCAAAAAACAAAAGAGTAATAAGGTTATTGAAACCTCCAAGAAAGTGTTAGTACAAGGGAAGAAAAAAGCTAACAGTAAAAGGAGAATGCACTGTCTAGAGTGCGTTAATTTAGATCCAATATAATAACACGAGAAAAAGAAGGAAAACCAAAAATGGTTATTTGACTTTGGAATTGGGAGGTGAAAATAGGGCAGACTAGCCTAAAAATCTGTAATGCCAACGTTTGGACTTTGCTGGAGATAACTATAGTCTAAAGCCAGGTGATGGCTAGTTGCATCTCAAGGAGAATATTTGGGATATAAGCTAGTGCCAGTAGGTGTATGATCCTATTTTTTTTTAATCCCGTGAAAAACTCATGGAATTACATGTCCAGTGTTTGTAAGAAGCCTCGATTCTTTGTAAACCGAAATCCTTTCACAGTACAGCAGAGTCTGATCACATGTTTAAACAATTCTGTACAGACTGAGAAAAATAGAAGGAAGCATTACAAACAGAAAGCAGCAACCTAGGGAATTAGAAGCTACACAGGGATAGAAATGGAGAACCATTTCCTGCTTGACAACTCTGAGAGGGGGCCTGCGGTGCGGCAGAGGGGGACGAATCAAAGAAAGGTCATTTACAGGTAGTGAAGTCAAATGTCACCTCCTCCAATTCTCATGACTTGTGGTTTAGAGAAAGGTTAGCTTAATATAGAGACTAGTGTGGCATTCTGAACTGTCTTAAGACAAGATGTGTGAATATGATATAACACCATCAGTATCTCTCCCCCTAGCAGTTATGTTCAAAAAGGTACTTAAAACACACACACACAAAAAAAAACTTAACATCGTGGTGAGGTAATAGACACCTGGGAAAGTCCCACTTGGTAGACTAAGGCTATCATCAAAAGTCCTATAAACTATATTCCAGAAATGGCTTCACTGGAATATTATTTTATATGACTGGGAGAGTCGTATATATCATCATCATTATAGGCACTTATTTTATGCCAGGTGTCATGACAAGCACGTTTCATACATTACCTCTTTTAGCCCTCACAGTTATTTTTAAGAGGTAATATTAACACCATTTTCACATGAAAAAAATTGAAGCTTGGAGATATTAAAATCTTTTTTATTATTTTATTTTTTCTTTATTGATTAAGGTATTACATATGTGTGGAGATATTATTATCTTGCCCAAGGTCTCACAATGTCAGAGCTGGACTCAAAGGCATGGGTTACACTCTAGAAAGCCCATAAAATCACCACCATGTTATGCTGTCTCCTTAATAGCCAAATATATTTGTTAATCATATGAACCTGTTACTGTAGTTAACTCCAGCACTTTGATTAACAACCTGGTGGGTAACATACCAATATTAAACCACTTGAAAAGAAAACTGAATGTCCACGGTCTTCTAGAAGGTTCATCGAATGCGTTATCAACACAGAACTCTGCCAAATCCAGTGCCTGTCTGTGTGGGGAACATGACCTATTTGACATTTAATGCTTTAACATCAGATATTCATCTGTAGCTTCTATGACCTGGTCCATCAAGTGAGTGACATGAGAGAACCACTGAGAATTAAATGATAACCTTCCTATAAAGAATTGAGTAATCATTAATGGTGACAAAGGAATCTAGACAAGAACTTAAATTGAAATTCTGGATACCCAAACATAATTGCACATTTTGTTCGAAGGGGATCATTTCTGATTCATTGCTCTCAGACACAGGTGCATCACACTTCTCCCTTTTGTAAACTTCATCTATATGTCATTCAAAGAATGAATTACTGATTTTCTGTGGTGAACATTGTGATTAAATGGTATTCTTAAGTGACGTTTTGGATTTCAAGAAACAGAATTTTTTTCTAGTGGAGAGTAGCTCTCAGTTGTAGTGAAGGTCAATGTGTACATTTTTCTAGGATCTATTAAGTGAAGCCTGGGCTGTTAGGACTTTTCTCTCCATTTTAATCTACAAATACAGTGAATACTGGAGTAGAGAAGTAAAACTGTACTATTTTAGTTTTTTTTCTGTCCCCGTTTGGATAGATATGGAAGTTACATATTTATTCTCTCATGGCAGTTGTTTTCTCTAGAAACAAAAATAAGTAATATTTTTATTTAATACCAGAAATACTATTTATGAAATTGATCAATGGCTTTGGGGGAACTTTGCTTTAGAGCATTTGAATAGCCTTCCCCAAGAGAGAAGAGCTTCCCCAGAGATTAGGAAATAGTCAACAGATAAAATGAACATGGGAACTGGTGTACTTATAATCTTAAAAAATAACATCCCGATATTATGTTAGAGAGTGAATGCTGAACAGAAGACCACTTAAGTATTTAAACAGCAGTCATCTTTCTCCCTAATCTAACATAGATGAGGGAGGGCACCTCTCTCCCAAGTCTTTAGGATTATTGCTTTGAGAGGTCCCTCGTGATGTGGAGGTGGCCTGGCACCATTAGACAGTCTGTCATGCATAGAACCCCTTGACAGACTCAAATCCAACAGGAGCAACTTTGTGATAGTTTTACTTCCCATGTTATTTTCCTATATGGAGAGAATATACTTGAAAATTATGTTTCTTTATAAATGAAAGGTGTTTGGGGGTTTTGTACAGCTATTTCTTATGAGTTTAGACATTTTTCCTTGTCCTTTTTAAGAACAATAATGAATCTGTGAACTTGAGTTTCTTTCCAGGAGTGGGGAACACCTGGCCCGAGGGCCATATATGGCCCAGGAAATCATTGGTCTGGCCCTGCCAAGGCATTAGGGATGAGTTAATGAAATGTTTGACCAAATATAGCAGGGTAATTTTTAAGTAGATAATTTTGTATGGCCCGCAAATGATGTTATAAATATCCAAGTGGCCACTGACAGAAAAAAGGTCCCCCCCCCCTTTGCACCCTACAAGGCTAAAGGCCAGGATCTGGACAGTGAAGCTCACTAAGGTCATGCCATTCTGTGTATGACCCTTGTCATCTGGCCAGACTTCTCTTTTGACTCTGGAGAGTATCATGAACTCATTCTTTCGCCTTCTTTAGAACTTCAGTGACTCATTCAACCTCAGTCAAGCCAGCCAGCTTAAGGAGATTCATTGGGACAGCAGTACTTTTCAGATAGGCTGTCTAAGGGAGACATTCAGAGGTCTGAGGGAAAACCAGGAAGTCTGAGGAGGAGAAGAGATTAACAGCAACAGATACTGCCTGTAGAGATAGCATAAAACCAATTAGAGTTGTTGAGGAGAGAATAAGAAGTGAGGAAGTAAAGACTGTATATACAGACACTAATTTCAATTTTATCTATACTAATAAAAGGGTAATATGCTAATTAGACCGAATAGACCAGATATCTTCTGGACGTCCTTCCAGACATCCTTCAGGACAAAGCCACAGTGGTGGGGGCCGAGGCAGAGGTGGTTAGGGGCAATCAGGCCAGCAGGGAAAAATGGTTAGAGGCGGTCAGCCAGGCAGAGGCGGTTAGGGGCAATCAGGCAGGAAGGCAGAGTGGTTAGGGGTGATCAGGCAGGAAGGCAGAGTGGTTAGGGGTGATCAGGCAGGAAGGCAGGTGAGCGGTTAGGAGCCAGCAGTCCTGGATTGCAAGAGGGATGTCCAACTGCCAGTTTAGGCCTGATCCTATCTAAACTGGCAGTTGGACATCCCCCGAGGTGTCCCTGATTGGAGAGGGTGCAGGCCGGGCTGAGGGACCCTGCCGCCCCCCCCCCACACACACACACACAAATTTCATGCACCAGGCCTCTAGTTTAGCTATAAAAGGAACGGCAGAAGCTAGAAGCTGGAGGAGGATATGGGAGTGGGGGCTTGAGGGAATTTTTGTTTCTAAGTAAAATTTTAGGATGTTCCAATGCTGATAAGAAGGTGTCAAGAGCAAGTAAAATATTGAGGATGGAAGAAAATTGGTCCCTGAGGGGACAAAAGGATCTGGAGCACAAGTGAAATAACTATGTTCAGATAGGAGAGGAGATACCTCTTGTACTAAGGAGAAGCAAGAAAGGATGGGTACAAATGCAAGTAAGTACTTGACATGATGGGAAATTGAGGAGGGTTTGAAGACAGTGTCAGTGTTATTTCTGAGAGTAAAGGGGAAAATGACTGCATCGAACATTTAAGAAGAGTGAATAAACCCGGCCAGCGTGGCTCAGTAGTTGAATGTCGACCTATGAACCAGGAGGTCTCGGTTGATTCCTGGTCAGGGCACATACCCAGGTTGAGGGCTCAATTCCCAATAGAGGGCCTGCAGGGAACAGCTGATCTATGATTCTTTCTCATCAATGATGCTTCTATCTCTCCTTTCTTCTCCCTTCCTCTCTGAAATCAGTAATTTGTTTTTTAAAAAAGAAGAGCAATTAAGCTTGAAATAGTTTCTATGAAGAAATGTGAAAGAATCTAAAAAAAAAAAAAGAAAGAAA